TTTCTGAAGGATCTTGTGACACTGAAGACTGGAGTAATGATGCTGTAAACTCAGCTTCACATTACAGGAATAAATTACATATTAAAATTTCAAATAGAAAACAAGTATTTTAAATTCTAATAATATTACTGTTTTAAATAAGTACATTAAATATATTCAAGATCTTGGTCATGGTAGGTCTGTTGTAAAAAGATTTTTACATCTGGAAGTGGACCTTGTTGTCTAAAATAGAGTAATTTCACTCACCATTTGCTACGCAGTGAGCCATTCATTTAAAATATAAACAGTATCTTCCTTTCTTTTTAAAGGAACGCTGAAGTGATGGTGCCACATATGGTGACACATTATTCTCAGATGAGCATATCCGGGGTGTTTAATGCAAGCGTTATGTTTACCTTGAAAGCGTATGTTGTTGCTTGTTAATTATATGACATCCTTTTGCAATTAAATCCTTCAAGGTACATTGAACGCTTCCGTTTCGGAAAGCCACAGAGTCGAGACGAAAGATGCCTTCAGGCAACTGATGCAGAAGATGACCAGCCGTTTTGGTGGATGTCCACATCCCCTCCATCCAGTTCAACACCAACACACCCATCAGAGAAATATATCAGAGGTGTGCTTTAAAGAATACATCTGTCATTAATAATACGTTTTCGGTGGGTTGATATTGTAAATTATTTCAGTGCACAAATCACACTCTTCCTTTGTACTTAGAGTCTTACTTATGTATGTCCTGGTTATAGCACCACTTGACCTCATGAAGGATGGCCCCGCCAGCACCCAGAGCCCAATCTCAAAGCCACTGCATGATGAAACCACGCTGTCTCCAGCTAGACACATGCTTGACCTTAGTATGCTGGTGAGTTTTGCATGAAATTGAATAACTGATTTGCCTAGAAAAGCTGACGGCATTTTGACCATGTGTTAAAGAGGATGACAAATATTGTAGTTTGTTATATTGCTGTAGGGCTTTTATATGTTGCAGATGCAGCTGAATTTTGTTCATGAAATAAATAAAAAAGTATATTTATTTCATGTACAGTATATTTTCACACGTTGCCAGATGCTGTAATTTAGCATCGTGGATGACTGTCGCCATCTAGTGGTGGTTGCTGTAAAATCTTCCTCCATGAGGTTCTTTATTTAGAGCAGGAGTATACCTTTCTTAAAGTTTGAGGTCAGTAATTTTTTTTTTTCTTTAACATATTTGAAATAATCTCTGAAGGATCATGTGACACTGAAGTAATAGCTACTGAAAACTCAGCTTTGCATCACAGGAATAAATTACATTTTAAA